TAGTAGTAGTAGTAGTAGTAGTAGTAGTAGTAGTAGTAGTAGTAGTAGTAGTAACAGGTGCTGATTATTTTGATGCTGTTGTTGTCGTTGCTACACTTGTGGGGAGAAGGAAAATATGGAAACGACGATAAAGTGTGATACAATGACGGACAAAGGAAACGTTTTGTTTAATCTAACAATCCTTATTGATATTATGCATGATGTGAAATTTAGACATGACTTGAACAAATCAGCGAAATGATGAATGTCAATAGCCCAAAACACCCAGAAAATCAAGCAAATTTTTGAAAAACAAAAGTGCTTTGTGATACGCTCCCTTCCTTGCTAAAATGGATTCTTTGACGCTCTTCCCTCGCGTTTTGCGATTTTCCCATCACATTGACCACAACGCTCTGTTTCCTGTTCCCCGGAGATATAACTGCGACCCTGCTGTGCCCCTACAACTACCCCAAATATCACACGTCACACACTAGATTAAGCAGTTCGAGATAGGGGCTATACTTTATCTAAAGCATGAGCAGACTACTGCACAGTCCTTGGCCAGATCTGGCCGGCAAGCAGTTTCAGTCTAGCCCGAGTCTTCCAAAAAAGAGTTTGCTCAGCAGTGAGTTAGCAGATACGAAACTGTCCGTCTTAAAAATTAAAATTAAATAGTGTCCAACTCAGTTAAAACAAATAGATTAAACATTTCATCTCATGTAATGTCCTTGAGAGACACATACTATAATTGCGTCACTTCCAGTACAATTTTTGAGTGTGGATTTCTACCAATTTCAGCCCAATTTTCTCCTTATAATTTGACCCGCGATATATTCGGAATCGCTTAATCCGTACGCGATCAGAAAACGCTTGCCCATTTCTCCTTTAATCCAAGCCTCTCTTCTTTCTTTCCCAGCTCTGGACAAGGAATGGAAATGAGACAAATAGCGTTTTGTTTTCGGACCTTCCATCTGGCAGTGAATACTTCTATCTGATGGAGGAAGTCTCTTTGGCTCACAACTGCCACGGTGAGATAGGTGTATGTGTGTGTGTGTGTGTGTGTGTGTGTGTGTGTGTGTGTGTGTGTGTGTATGTGTGTGTGCGCTCGCGCGCTCGTGCGTTTAGGTGTGTTGTAGCTGCATGTATGCGTGCATATTATGTAATATATATGTATATA